CCTTCTGCTGCTGCTGTTGCAGCTGTTACTCCTCCTGTTGCAGCTGTTACTCCTCCTGTTGCTGCTGCTGCTGTTGCTCCTACTGCTGTTGCTCCTACTGCTGTTGCTCCTGCTGCTGTTGCTCCCTCTGCTGCTGCTGCTCCTGCTGTTGCTCCTTCTGCTGCTGCTCCTGCTGTTGCTCCTTCTGCTGCTGCTGTTACTCCTGCTGTTGCTCCTTCTGCTGTTGCTGTTACTCCTCCTGTTGCTCCTCCTGTTGCTCCTTCTGCTGCTGCTGCTGTTACTCCTCCTGTTGCTCCTTCTGCTGCTGCTCCTTCTGCTACATGTCTTCAGAGATGCAGAGCCCACTGTTCTAACTATTCATGACTGGTGATTAAAGGAAAATATTATATACAAGTTTGTTGTAGTTCATAATGTTTTCAGCAGTGAAGCAGGAGGTGATGGAGGTGAAGCAGGAGGTGATGAAGGTGAAGCAGGAGGTGATGGAGGTGATGGAGGTGAAGCAGGACGTGAAGCAGGAGAAATTATGACCTTAATTTCACCACAAGTCTCTGAAAAAGAAGAACACAAACATCATGCATTAAAACACAGCCCACATTTAGGATTCTTTTTACACTTCATATTCAATTAATACTATTTATTTGGGGCTTTGCAAAAAACTGGTTAAAAATATAATACAGAAATCCTTACAGTATTTAATATTAGAGATACAAGCTTCACAGCAGGGGAAACAGAAGAATGATATGATAGAAATATACACAAATAATCAAGTTATGAGCATGGCTAACCACTTTAAACCTGTGTTTGTGGAAGTCTGCAAATGTCTTATTAATGACAAACGAAACCTCTGTATAATGTGTGTTTACTATTTATTAGACTATTGTATGAAAAGGGCTTTATAATTATTCTTGGCCTATTCTATAATTCCATATGTCTAATATATACAGTTTTCCCAGTCTCAGTATGGGATTAAAAACGATATGCACAATCTATTTTATATGAATACAGAAAACATGTGTTAGCATACTATAGCTGCTGTGCTGAAGAGTGATTTTCCATGAAAACGTGACTATTTCCTCAGTGTAGCTTTAATATTTAATCAGTGGGTTTGTTTCTCCCTAAAAGATAAAACACAACATGATTTTTCTTGTTCAAAAACCGAATCTGAATGAACTAGCTAGCCTCGTAGCATTAGCATTAGCTTTTCGGGACTGAGCTTATTTACAGGAGATAACAAGGTTAAATACACACATCTGTGGCAGATCTAATTTATGTCTGTGTTTTATCATAACAGTCGTGTTCATAACTCAACAGTAAAGTATAGCAGTACTTACTATAGACATAACTTCACAGTAAAGTATAGCAGTGCTTACCATAATGTTAGCTCCAGCAGCTCCGAGCTGTTGTTTACATGTTAATGCCGAACGGAGTTCTGCGCATGCGCGGCCGTGACTTGGCAAAAAGAAGGCAGCGAAGCATACATCAGATGCATCCTTCATATCTGCTCCAAAAGTGGCCGTTTCCATAGAGACGAAGTCATGATGCCTACGCTTGGCGAGCTCGCCAAGTGGTTTTGGACACCCCTGCAATAGCCGTCGCTTGAGGAAGTGACGTCACGATGCCTACATATCCACCCTACGCGGCCCGATGCCTAGCGTTTTGGACACAGCCAATGACAGAGAACAATGTAATTCTAGCGCCCGCCCAGTAGGGGGCAGTGGCATTTTTCAAATCAATTTCAAATAATTAGTTTTGAATGCCCCTCATCCGTCCTGTACCCCATGTTTGATTTGCTGCTGTGTCGGCAGCAGGACACAGAGGGGGAAGGTGACTCTTGTTCCCTCATGCCGTGTTCAGACCGGATCATGCGTTGCGTCGGCTTTCAATGCAAAGTCAATTGTGACGCATGTTTGAGCATCAAAACGCACGCGTGCGTCTCGGAATGCACGCACGGACTGCTCAGTAGAGATGCACGGACTGCGCGGGAAAGTCGAAGGGGAAACTAGAGATTGTGCGTCTGGTGAGCGAGGCTTCAGCATTTCAATCCAAACTTGCACCTCAATGTGAACTCATGTGGAAGTGTGACTGAGATTCAAATCTCATAGTAAAGTATGAGGCCCTGTTTAGATGGAGATGCTGCAAAGTATTTTGGAAAACAAATGTAGTTCTAGCGCCCGGCCAGTAGGGGTGAGTGGAACTTTACAACACAACAAGCGTGACCCCCACTTCCTCAACAATATAGTGTCACTTACTATATCAAGTATGAAGTAAAATTTCAAGTTTTAAAGCCAGCAATGGCCTCTGTTTTGTCTGGTCACACCAGCCACTACATAAGTAGTCCTGAGGTATTTTAATGCGGGTGATGTTGGTGGTGTCCCCACTCTGTCCCGGGGCACGCGTGTGTGTGCCTGTTGTGCATTCCTCTCCACTCTTGTCTAATGTCTGTTATGTCCTTCCTGTCTGTGTGAGGTGCAGGAAAGCCCCGGCAGTCTCACTCACCTCTTACTCACACACACAATATCATATCACTCACCTCTAACACACACACACAATATCATATTGCCAAATAATGAAGAGTCCTGGATCACTGTTATAGCCAACTAATCAGAGTCATTGGGGCAGGGTCCAGGCTGTGAGTCAAGGATCAACTCTTGACACAATTTAAAACAAAAAAACCAAAATAATAACAATAGAAAAGTTAAAAGTGACAAAAAGTTGTTTGGAGAAGTTCAGTCTTATTCAATGTTCAGGATTGTCATGAAGCATTATCGAAGTTGTCTTATAAACGATGGAAAAATATGTTCTTCTTAACTTTGCATACAGTTTTGGGCACTGGCTATTTTGTTTCTCTAAGTCTGTGTGTGGTGAAACAATACTGTAGATAGACGTAGTCGTAATGTTTCTCCAGTGCAAAGAAGACGACCTGTGGGTTTGACTTGACATCTTCAAAGCTAATCTTTCCTTTTGTGGTGTTTTCCAGCACTGCCCCACCTCTCTGTGCTAACACACTCATCAAGGCCATTGAGCTGTGTGCGCCTTTTTGTGGCCAAGTTACAACATCAGATAATATTTTCTTCCCAGCAGCAACCCATCATTTATATTGATCACCATGTTAGATGGCATACATTGCGTTATTTTCTATAGTTACAGAAAACAGCCCTTATTCATGTTGAAACAGTTTTGGGGTCGTTGGTTCTCATTTGCTGTTCCATTTAAGTGCATAGGATAAGTGTAAGCCAAGCTACAGAAGTTTGGAACACCTTCCACCCCCACTAAATTATCTATACATATTTTATCTATGTTAGATTTGTTGTGTCATCAGATTTTGAATTTTAAATGAGTTTGAATTTTTCCATTTGAAATTTTGAAACATAAAAAAGCATGCTTGAATATTTTGGTCTTTGCTTTTCAGTCACTGAAAAAGGAGTTTTCCGTCTGTGTGAATGGTTGGTGGTCGGAGGGGCATACTGGTTGCCTCGCTTCTGTCAGTGTGCCCCAGGGAAGCTGTCGCTGCTGGAGTAGTAGTTGTAGGAGTGAATGCATAATGCATGTGAAGTGTCTTGAGTGTCCAGTGCTATATAAAACCGATGCATTGATATTATTATTTTGAATTTAAAATTGATCTAAATTTATTACATTTTTTTCAACATCTATATTGTTCTATATCTACTGTATATCTACTGTATATCTAATATTTTATATATATTAAAATACATTTTTTGTCTGCAAGTTTTAGTCATTGATTTTTAATGTCATAGTGTTTAGCTTTTTGCAGCTGAAGAAATAAGGAGCCATACGGTTTTTGTATAATATTATTTTATTTTTTAACAGCTCAGCAAATGTTTTTCTGTGTACAAGAGTTCAAGCAGTGGAATAAAAGACTACAGGGAATTTACACAGTAGGCGTAAACAGCGCGTACGCGTTTACTGCGCGCTCTCTGCGCGTACATTTTTTTTTGAGTATATACACAGGCCGTGCGCGCAGGTCCATATACCCCTGACTGCAGTCCGCAGATCGGGGCGGAGCTCAACGTGGGCGGAGTCAAACGTTTGACTCCGCCCACCGCGGAAGCTTCTTTTTTTTTTCTTTTTTTTAACGGAAGCGTTTTTTTTTTCATTTTACCCTGATTTTAACCTTGATCAAGGGTAAAATCATCAAGTTGATGATTTAAAAAAAGAATTAATATTTATCGGTCCCGATATGCTTTTCATTCTTCTACTCCTTTGTATATTATGTATATTTATAAACTATTTTTGGTACCATTATTTATTATTGCACCTGATTCTGACCGATTCTGATGTTACACCTAAGCTTGTAATAATATAAAAAGCTTTTGTATGGGACACCATTCATTGTTATTTATATCAGGATCACATCTGGTGTCAAAATGTAAATCTTTGGTAAAACCTGTTTCTTTTTGTCTCAAATGTAAATACCAGCTTACATAATAGTAAGGTTACATAATATTCTATATGCATTCTTGTCTCATAAAATAAATGATACTAAAATAATAGTAATATGATTACATTTCCATGAGCCCTCACAACTTTACACACAACTTTTTAATGAGGTTCAGCTCCCACTGAACTAGAACAGTGAAGTGAAATCAACATTTAATATCAGGCTTCTACTTTCAACTTGTCAAAAGCCTTATTTTTTTCACTGTCCATTATTTTTTATCCATGCTGCCTTCATTTAAAAAAATAAAAATTCTTATATAAATGTATCCACTCAATTATATCAGCTACATTAAGGAGAACAGAGACTGAATTGTGCCACTGACACTTCTTAAAAAACATGCCGAGGTTTGAGGTGGGGTAGCGAGACAGTGGACCCAAGGATGCAGACTTGATGTTTCAAAAAGGTAAATTTTATAACACAAACAAAAGCCATAACCGGAACACAGGTATAAAAAAAGTACAAACAAAATCACCAAACACCACACTAGGAGAACCAAAACAAAGTGAAAATGCAAAGAAATGCAGCATGTGTGAGCAGAAAATTATCTCATTTCAAAGCCGGAAAACACCTGCAGCTGCCTTTTGTCCATCATTTCCTTGCAGAACTCCTCATAGTCTGCCTGCAAACTAAACATGAACATGAACGGTTCACTGAGGTCTTCTTTATACTCTTCATCCAGGCCATCACACATGCACAGCATTTCCACTGCCCTCAAGGAATCTTCCTTGTTCATGGTGATGACCTGGGGAAGGTAAAGTTTTCCCTTGAAGGATCTTGTGCCACACCACCTTGCTGCCGTTAAGGTGTCCATAAGCAGGGAATCCTCCTAATGAAAAATTAAGAAAATGAATATTAAAATAGAGGTTGAAGAAGGCAGCAAACAGTGAAATAAGAAAAGCTCACAACGGGTAACATACTCCGTTCCCAGTTCCCACTTCCGGCAAGCTCTCAGCCTTTGCTAGAAAGGAAACAGATTATGGTTCTTAAAGGTATAATAACAATGCAAGTTCTAAAAAAGATCAGTAGCTTATTTTAAGTATACTGGTTTAATGAAAATTGAGAAATTACAGCAAAACCAGCTACGTCACATCCCATCTCTACAACCTTGGGGGTTGTGTACAATAATACTGTTTTGAACAATACCTGATGCTTCAGAGACAGATTCTGAAAGCCGAATACTTTTTGGAGGGACCACTTCCAGATCCTGAAATAAACGGGGGGGATTATGCTTTAGTCTGCAAGCAATAGTTTGACTACAGGACAAATTAATCAACTCTCACCTGTTTTCCTTTTTGCTTTCTCCGTCTTTTTCTTTCCTGCAATCTGGTTTCCTTAGACCTTGATGATGTAATGACAACATTAATTTACTATGAAAACATTCATGTTGGTCTGTTGACCGTGAAAGGATCTGATTCAAAAGTGTGATCATGAGGGCACTTACGGCATGGGGAAGTTCTGTAGGAGGACAAGACACCACCATCTCCTAATTTGCAGCATGTTTTCCTTTGAAAATAGAAAGGAAGATTCAAATATGTGTTCAGGAATGATAAGTTGTATACTAAGCGTAATGTGTCACAATTTTCACATACCTCTCTGAAGTCACAATTGGCCCCCATTACAATGTACAGCGTGTACTGTAAGTCAAGAGGTACTGGTTAATGTACTAATGTCATGCATATTTCCCCAGGATACAATTTTCCAATACATATAATGTGTTTTTAATGTAGCAAGCAAACATTTTACAGATAACAGCAAAGATATAACTGAATAGGTCTTACCATCAAAACAAACACGCCACAGTTGTTGGAGCACCCTTGCTTTGTTAGGCCCTGAGGTGTGAACAAGGTCTTTTAATAAAAGAATGGCAAGAAAATAGTAAATGTTAGCAAATACTATGAAGTAACGTGACCTGAACATCATTCACGCCAAGCTCCCTCCAGGGGCCAGGAGACAGGCTGTGAGCAATGTGTCTGTGCAAAGAGTAAGCAGAAGTAACTAAAAGTAACTGAACTAAAATCAACTTTTGATTCAAATGCATAAACACTTTGAACAAAGTTGAAACTGAACAAGAGGTTGGAACTTGAAACGGGCTTGAACAGAACGGCCCCACACAAATAAGATAGAGTTCTGTTTCCATTTATTTTATTTTATTAATTAATTATTTTAATTTGTTTAATGAATCAAAATAGTTAATGCATGGAATATTTTAGATCAAATAAAATATTTGATCTAAAATATGAATCTAAAACCCAGAAAAGTCGTTTTTAAGTCCAGGTTTATATAATTTTCGCTGCAACAGTAATGCTAGGTATACTAGATTAGAAGTCCAACCGTGCAGAATGCAGATACATACAAGTATAACTTATTTTAAAATAAAAATAATGTTACTTCCTTCCTTGTCGGTAACAAATATAGCAAAGTTGCACGTTAAAACAGAATGAAAAAACTGGCCTACAGTACCTCCATTCTGCCAGCTACTTCGCTCTTCTTCTCCTCTGCTTCTTCTCCTTCTCTGTCATACGCACAGTCTTCAATGCCTAGCTCCCGCTCGGCGGAGCTCAACGTGGGCGGAGTCAAACGTTTGACTCCGCCCACGTTGAGCTCCGCCCCGATCTGCGGACTGCAGTCAGGGGCTACTCCGCAGGTCCGCATCTTTTGATGCTGTCCCTATGTAGTCTATGGAGCAGTGTAGAGGACAGTACGGGCCAGAGGACTGATGTAGAGCAACACAAATCACATGCATGTGTTTGTGCTCATGGTTTCTGTGCGCTGGTTTGGCCAGACGCGAGACTTTATGTAAGAAAAAAAACGATGTCCAGAATCACTGTAAAACCTGCTGCTCCTCCTGCTGATGTTTAGATACAAGTGCTGTGTGTGTGCAGATGCGATCTAGAGCCAAGGACCGCTAGAAAAATCATGTTTTACATGAGATTTCAATGGGAGACGCGTTGGTGCGCGAACAAAATTAGAAATCCATCCTAAATTAGAGCGCAGCTTCGCGTCATACGCTTGAAGTGTAAATATCAAAGGTTAACATGGAAAAAAGTTACGCGCGTCTGCTGCGCGTATAACGCGTACGTGCTGTAACGCGTGATGTGTAAATTAGCAGTTAACTCATCGAATGTATATAGTATGTATAATCTTGTTATTCGCCTTGGATACATTACAATCAGGGTGCGATTTGCTGGGGGGGATGGGGGGGATTTTCTCCCCTTCTGGTTTTCTTGTCCCCGTCTCTGTTTCTTTTATCCCTATCCCTACTTCTGCTGTATTATTGTATTAAACGTAGGGGGGGATAGAATTATAAAATTGGCTGTGTGTTCAAGGTCCGTGCACCTGCTGGCCAATTTATTTCATTTTACATGAGACGCGGGTGAGAGCTGCTTTAGCGGCTTTGCTGCGCACGGGGTCTGCTGCAGAGAGTGAGGGTCTGGGGAGTCTCTCCTGTCTCCCTCGCTGCTCCTCGCTGAATGCTATCCAAAATACAGTATAGTTTTATACAGAGGAACACGTAACATAGGCCTATGCGTCTCATATATAATTATCTGCCTCGGAGTAGGCTATCGGCTGGATCATTACGCATTGAACGGGGCTGTGCGCGCTTATATTCAGCCCAAAACACACAGGCATTCCTAAAAAAAAATATATATATATATAACATAATCCACAATGCCACGATTGTTTGCAAAGTTCTGCTATAGATAGTCCTGGTTACAAGGCAGATCCATCCCCGCCAGAGCTGTTAAGACAAGACGCCATGAGCTCTGCTCAGCGAGTCAAATGCAGAGTCCGGGCCTATCTGTCAATCGTCAGGGCCCTACTGACACAATACATGATAAATAAATAATGACGTAATCGCGCTATTTTTTAAGTTACGTCATCACGCAATAAATAGTTACATTTCAGGGTAATAGCCTAGCATAACGGTTTACAAAATGAAGCGTGTTCAGAGCAGCATATCGTCTTTTTTTGCAGGATCCAAAAAATCGCGAAGTGATCTTGACACACAAGACGCATCACACAATAGTGTGGAGAAAAATAATCCAGTTTCGCCAACTGGAAATGACACAGATGAAGATGCTTTCCAACTCCAAGCTAGCTCCCTTCCCGATGCTCTGGTAGGCGGCTGCATTGACCAAGGACGTTTTGACAGATGGAGAATAGAAAGAAAGTGGCTTACGCTTAACGCAGACAGGGCAGTGCAATGTAAATGTTGCTCAGACATTGGACAGTTGGGTCCTCACACTAAAGAAAGACTCCACATTGACCCCGCATTTGTTAAAGGAGTAAAAACAAAGTCTGCTAAAAAACTCCATGACAAAATCAGCAAACACGCAAAGTGTCAGTCACATGTAAAATGTGTAGAAATTATTCAGAAAAGAGGTGAAATGGCCATTGAAAAGGGTGTGGACAATAATATGGCATTATGGAGGAAATGCAACGAGAAAAAATTAAAAACAACGGAATTCTGCATGCGCACTGCATATATGATGTAAAAACGACCTGTCATTCAAGATTCAACCACAACTGGTGGAACTCCAAAAGCTTAATGGTGTTGACCTGGGGCAAATGTTGCATTCTGATAAGGCCTGTCGCAATATGCTCATATTTATTGCAGACAAAATGACAGGCAAGTTGTCAGACTTCATTAAAAAATCCACCCATAAATTTAGCATTCTCATTGATGAAAGTACAACTGCGTCAAATAAAACCTGCCTCATCATATACATTCGGATCCCCTTTGAAGATGACATTTGCAACTTCTTTTTGCAACTGGTTGAACTTCAGGCCTGTACTGGAGCAGCTATTTGTGACACTGTTCTTCAGACCCTCGAGAACCTCGGCCTCCAAAAAGACATGTTGCGCACCAGACTGATTGGATTTGCCACTGACGGGGCTGCTGCCATGATGGGCAAATACAGAGGAGCAGCAACACTACTGCGGGAGAAGATAAATCCCAACCTGACCGTGATTCATTGCATGAGCCACAAATTGGAGCTTGCTGTCCATGACGCAGTAAAACAATGTACAGACGCGAGTCATTTTCAAATATTTATTGACTCCCTCTATGCATATTTCAGCCAGAGCCCAAAACACATGCGTGAACTTGAGCTCACCGCTTCCAATTTGGGAATACAAGCACGCAGAATAGGACGGGTGTTTGACGTGCGATGGCTGTCATCTTCCTGCACATCCGTTACAGCTCTCTGGGAAAGCTATCCTGCTCTCGTTAAGATGTTTGGGACACTGGCGGAAGACGGCTCCAGACCGTCTTCAGAGAGGGCAAAATGCAGCGGGATTCATAAGAAAATGACCCAGTGGCTTTTTTTGGAGGAGATGGCATTCGTGAAAGACGCACTGGAAACCCTGCAGGCCTTATCTCTCTTTCTCCAGAGGAGAGACGCAACAGCAGTCACTGCCAACACTGAAGTGGACGTTGCTGTGAGAGCGCTTGGAGCCATGAGACAAGTGGATGGCACAAGCGCAAAACGCCTACATGGGGAATACGAGGCTTCAGAAACGTTCAAAGGAGTCAATGTGTCTCAACCAAGCGACAGAGATAAAAGAAAGGCAGAGGTCTTTCGCGAAGGTTTTTATACGTCACTCGCAGAGAACATTCAGCGCAGGCTTGATGACAATGGCATTATTTCTGCCTCTGCCGCTCTGAACCCGTCCAATTGGCCACCTGACGAGGATGAGCGTATTCTCTATGGAGACGAGAAGCTGCTCGCGATCCAAAAAAAACTTGCTGTCGACATCGGAGAAAGCAATGCCATCCTCTTAAAAGAATTCCACGAGCTCAAATGCCATGGGATCACAGGTAAAGCAACTGTCTATTCTAAGCAGTAACAACTTTTATGAAGAAACTCACTCCTCTACGTCAAATTTACATTAATTTTATTTTTATTATTTGACAGGTGCACGCATGCAGTACATCCTCACCGCTGTCTCTACGTTGCCGGTGTCAACTGCAGAATGCGAGCGCGGATTCAGCGCAATGAACCGCGCACTTACAGACGAAAGGAATAGAATGCAAATATGCACATTGAATGCTCTCCTGTTTCTTTCAATCAATGGGCCTGACATAACCTCCTTCCCTGCTCATGTGTATGCTGAGATGTGGATAAAAAATGAGGGGCGGCACGCAGCGAACGATCAACCCACAGGAAAGCCAAAAAAAGCACCGCAAATGAATAATCAGAGCAGACTGTTTTGTTAAAACAAATAAGAAACATATGTTCAAAGTTCAGGCATCCGTTAGTTCATGCGTCTTGGAGGACTCTTTCTCCAACAGGGTTTACTGTTAGTGTGTGTGACTCTAATAAGCACACCAGTTTGTTGTTTTCGAGTTTGGGCCGTAATGTCACGTTAAACACTCGTCTCGCTCCCTAATTTTCTCCGGACGCCCTGCAAGCAGAGGCATCAACTTCACCCTCTGCTCGCTCCACCAGCAGCGCGCACACTCACGCTCGCGCCAAGCACACACACACACACACGCACACACACACACACGCACGTGCACACACTCACACTGAGTTACTACTAGACAGAACACATCTTACAAGTTTCAAGTTCAACAGCATGAAATGTATGTGATTTTTATGCAATAAAGTGATTGAGTAACTATCCCCCCTTCTGTTTTTTTGACAAATCACACCCTGATTACAATCCATTCATTAGATATCCCATATCAACCTGTTAGATTCATGTTATCTATCCAATAGACCAGCTTTAAGCTGGCGCCTGTCCTTACCTCAGTAAAAGGACGCATGCTCAGACCAACTGGTCAAGAGCACACAATTCAACAGATCCACATTTTTTCACTATTGTTTTTTTTTCATGTACAATTTAGAAAAATGTATTACCTAAAAATATTTGAAATATCTTGGAAGTTTGAAAGTGATTTTTTATTAAAAACACCATGATATTGATCATTAGTAACTGAAATTTGCAGACAAACATTTTTGAGATAATTCAAATAGATGAATTCAGGTCCATTTAAAATTCTAAATCTGATGGAACAAAATATCCATCTTTTTTTTTTTCATTGAATTTCACAGTGCAAATATGTAATGTTTGTAACGTTTACATACACACATGTTCATATTTTGTAGAATTGACTTCTAAACTTTTAAATAAGTGTTGAAAATGAGGACAGACTAAGGTAGGTTCCAGAAGCACAGGACATGCATTTTAAAGACATTTGGTCTTTAATAGTGACTGTTATGAATAACAGGTGCAAAATCAGAGCGGATACACAATCAGAGTTCTTCTGACTCACAAGGCCGGATCACTGGTATATTTTGTCTTGTCTATGGACTTTGTGAAGGCCATTGTCCATACATGGGCGGCACGGTGGCTGAGTGGATAGCACTCTCGCCTCTCAGCAAGAAGGTCCTGGGTTTGAATCCCGGTTGGACCAGGTCCTTTCTGAGTGGAGTTTGCATGTTCTCCCCGTGTCTGCGTAGGTTTCCTCTGGGTACTCTGGTTTCCCCTACCACTAAAAATATGTACAATAGGTCTGGCATGCGCCTCCTGTTCGGTGACCCCGCTCCCATCTCTGTGTGCAGTGACAGGACAAGTGCCCAAAAAAAATAAAAAATAACAAATGTAAACCGCTTTGTGACTCTGGTCTGTGAAAGGCAGTATATAAATAAAGATTACTTACTTACTTACTTACATGCGCCAACCATTTGAGTAAGCCTTCCAAGAGCTTCTGACAATAAACTGATGGAAGTTTGGCCCACTCCTCTTGACACAACTGATGTAACCAAGTCAGGTTTGTACCCGCTTTGTCAGCGGTCACAGTGGGGTTTATGGATATATCAGTATATCGGTGACAGCTGGCTATTACCTCCTAGGGGACTCTGCTTACCCCCTGCAGAACTGGCTCCTAAAACCTTTTCAGGACACCAGGCGTGTGACAGATGAACAGTAAGTATTTAATAGGAAATTCAGCACAGCACAATGCTTTCGGCAGTCTTAAAGGAATGACCTGGACACTGAACTTCTGAAGTCAATGGTGCTGACTTGCTGTGCTCTGCAAAATCTATGCGAAAACCATGGATGGACCTATGTGACAAAATGGGACACACCTGTAGCAACAGCAGCCTGTGTAGCAGTGGTGCAGAGGAGGGCAGAGATGTTAGCTAATGCGTCCCTTTTTGTCATATGCCTAAACATTTATTTTGCCTTTTTGTGTTTTGACCAAAAAAAAACGTTTCTGTATTTAGCAAATGTCTCCATCCTTGTTCATAAAATTACCAAGGTTATACAGATTTATTGACAAATATAGTGTATGTAATGTAAATAGAAGTAAGAAGTATATGGTAGGAAATTGTAACTTTTGCTTTTGAACCCCTTTTCTGCACGTGTACAGGCAAATGAATGAAACAAAGTCTTGACTCGCACTTTTATTAACCCTCCAAGTTCGAAGGTCATTTTGGGGAACTTTCCTCGCCTGGTTTTCTTTCTGTATAATTGCTCATAAAACAGTCATCTTGTGATGTAGAATCAAGCAGTATAGTTGGTTTTGTTTTTTTAGTGCAACCTGGGGTTGTAGAATATTCATACTGTAGAGCTGTCATATGAAATATATAAATATTATGGAATCACGAAGACAAAGAAAAAATGAAACAGAAAATCAATTTCACAAAAATGTATTGAAAAAACACAATGAAATGCGATAAACAACTTTTTAGACTGCATGAAAATGTTATTTAGGGTCTTGGGGATAATGGGGAAAAATGTGGAACCTGTAACTATTATACTTTTTTACAAAATTCCACTATAAAAGCAAAAACAGCTGTACTCCTGATGCTCTTCCTGAAGCTGTTTGTCTATGAGGCTGGGGTTGCTTCCGTATCACAACTGTAAAATACGTACAACAAAAGAAACGCTACACTTGTTTTTGCTCCCATTTTCCATGCGATGGACTTATGATCTAAAATTCATTCCAGATACACAATATTACCATTTCTCTCAAACATTGTTCACAAATCTGTCCAAATGTGTGATAGTGAGAACTTCTGCTTTGCTGAGATAATCCATCCCACCTCACATGGTGTGCCACATCAAGATGCTGATCTGACATCATGATTAGTGCACAGGTGTGCCTTAGACTATTCACAATAAAAGGCACTCTGAAATGTGCATTATTTAGCTTTATTGGGGGTCTGGGGACTCAGAACCAGTCAGTATCTGGTGTGACCACCATTTGCCTCATGCAGTTAAACACACCTTTACATAGGGTTGTCAGATTGTCAATTGTGGCCGGTGGAATGTTGGTCCACTCCTCTTCAACGGCTGTGCCAAGTTGCTGGATATCAGTGGGAACTGGTGCATGCTGTCGTATACGTATACGCCGATCAGGCACATCCCAAACATGCTCAATGGGTGACATGTCCTGTGAGTATGCTGGCCATGCAAGAACTGGGACATTTTCAGCTTCCAAGAATTGTGTACAGATCCTTGCAACATGGGGACGTGCATTATCTTGATGAAACATGAGGTGATGTTCATGGATGTATGGCACAACAATGGGCCTCAGGATCTCATCACGGTATCTCTGTGCATTCACAATGCACCTGTGGTCTTCGACCATAGCAGATGGCTGCCCATACCATAACCCCACCACCACAATGGGCCACTCGATCCACAACATTGACATCAGCAAAGCGCTCACCCACACGACGGCACACACGCTGTCTGCCGTCTGCCCTGAACAATGCAAACCGAGATTCATCCGTGAAGAGAAAACCTCTCCAACGTGCCAGACGCCATCGAATGTGAGCATTTGCCCACTCAAGTCTGTTACAGCGATGAGCTGGAGTCAGACCCCGATGAGGACAACAAGCATGCAGTTGAGCTTCCCTGAGACAGTTTCTTACAGTTTGTGCAGAAATTGTTTGGTTATGCAAACCAATTGTTTCAGCAGCTGTCTCAGTGGCTGGTTTCAGACGATCTTGGAGTTGAACCTGCTGGATGTGGAGGTCCTGGGCTGGTGTGGTTACACGTGGTCTGCGGTTGACTGTCACAATAACGCCGTTAACGCCGGGAGGATGAGATAACATCTCAGCAATTATTGGCTGATGTATAGTAAGATTACTGTATGTCTTCAGCCAATCAAAGAAATTGGGGAGGTGGGTGTCAGTGAGGCAGGTATTTCATTTATTTTTACCTTGAAATTGCAGATTTTCATCATATTCTTCTCATATTTGACCGAGCGGCGCGCTGTGAGGTGAGCCTCTCTTGGGATACGTGAAAGCCCATAGCTTACTGTGGGAGAAGCCCGTGCACTGCTATCGAACTGTTTTCTCTGTTGATCGCGGTTTACAAAGTTCAAACATGATTCCTTTACAATCTACATGTCTACAGTTGAGAGGATGGCCCAGACACACATCACCTATAGATCACGTAGATCAGTGATCAAAAGCTACTTTAGCTGTGTCGGGTATGCATTTTCGCAACATCCCGCTTAAACAACACGTATTTTAACTAAAGAAAGTAATTGCAATTGCAGCTGTAATTTCAACTGTGGGACAACACACTACTTCACACAGAGGAGTGAATCATCCTACTCTCTGATTGTTTTTAACTAAACTGTCATTGTTTGTATGAAAAGCGCTTTATAAATAACATTTTATTGATTGATTGAGCGGTCACTTGTTGTTTGTTGTTAATCTCCTCACTTGTGGGAAGAGATTCTCTAATAAATAAATATACACATGACAACTTAAGTACAAGCACAAAACAGAGAGGCAACACGTGAAAGAGCAAGATACAGCACACTAGCACAGGAAGGACATTTTAATCCAGCGCAGAAGAGGATTGTAAAAGTGTGGAGCGAT